TTTCTTCCAAGTCTCAAATGCGAGCCAATGACAAAGGCTGCGCCTTAGGCTGGGTTCATAATTCGCGGCAGCGTCCATCAGCGACATGGCGTCCCGTGTGGAAGCGTCAGCGACTGGGAAAGTACACATATAGATCCAGCGTCTGCAAGCGTCCACCAGCGTCCCGAGAGCTAGGGAGTGTAGGTATCGATCCAGTGCCTGCCGGCGCTACCAGCGTCCACCAGCGATTAGCAGCAGACTGCTGGTAGAGTGGGTCGGTAGGAGGGTGCCAGCAGTCTGTTATCCTCCTTTCTTCGCATACTCTCCATCCCGGACGCTGCTGGTCGCTGGTAGACGCTGGCAGACGCTGGCAGACGCTAGATCGATACCTATACTTCCCTAGCCCTCGAGACGCTGCTGGTCATTGGTGGACGCTGGACGATAGATCGATATTTGTACTTTCCCAGTCGCTGACGTTGCCGGACGCTCGGAACACTGGCGAACGCTGCTGCGATGTATGAATGCTTCAAGCGCGCGGTAATTTCGCAGCGACCAAGTGCCGCGCAGAATAAGCACTGTAATGCCGCGCTTTGGATGTCCTGAACTACATTCATGAGCGGTTGTACAGCTGCGCTGCTGTACACGACGTAATCAGTCGCTACGCGTGTGCCGCGCGTTTGTCGCCTCGAGGCGCAGGCGACACGCGGCGTCATCAGATGCTTCACGCCTGCCAATATGGCGTTGTTTCGCCCACTGCTCAACACCACTGTATCAAGCCAACGGATAAGATTCTACCTCAAAATTTTCTCCACCATTGCAGTGGATGCCGTATTGAATTGTTGCGCAGCGTATACAACATAGTCTGCACATTCCTTTCCATTAGCTATTGGACGGAATAGCATGGAAATCACCTGCATAACCATTTAATTCAATAAGGTAAAGTTACAATACAGAGCAATTTGTAATTTCACCGGGTTTTGGCTTTCGGCCAGAATCTTCACCACTTGACCGGGTAAAGAGCGCTTGTTCCGTTGAACAAACCCATGAACACTGTACCATGTAGTGCCAAAAAAGTGCCGTACAGACATTTGTAGGCGGTCTTTGTTCTTCGCCTCAAAATAATTCGTTCAATAAGTAACTCTTAAGTAACATAACGCTACCACAACGTTATCCTTCTATTACTTATAGAGGGAACGAAGTTACCTTTCCATACACATTTTTGTCGAGATGATTCAAGTTGCAATGTCGCAAATATGACTCATCGGAAGCCTAAATAGTAGACGCCATAAATAACCTCCAACAATCAATGTATCGATTTTTGGACAAAACCTCCAATAAATACCGAGGCTGTATCGTGACACCGCCCGCGCGCAACACCGTTCAACCGTTTGGCCATGAAACACTAACTTTTGGGAATCTTGCATTCCATCCATCGAGTAATGTAGAGCACAGCCATGAGGTCTTACAAGAGGGTCAGATCAACGGCCCTTGTCCGTTGTCGAGCTGTTGATGGCATCTGAATAACAAAGAATCCATGCTGAAACGCAAGGCTACTCAGTTTCCAAGTAGCTTGTTTATCCAAACAACTTACTCATCCCAGCTATCCCGAGCATATGGTTTTATCTTTTCAGTTTGTCTGAAGACCGGAATACAGGAACAAAGGCAACGATTTCGCCTTGATCGTATGGGGCGAAACTCACAACACCCCTCTATTCGGCCGCTGGCCGCTTTTTCCCCTCTCCTAATCTGTGTACTTGCTAGTCTTCGCCAACCTGCTTCAGATGATGGGACCCGGCGACCACGTTCGGTCTGTGATATCAACTATAACTTTATTTCCCTTATAGCGCAAATCTTTTCTGCTTTTCTCAAGCGCTCTCACGTGTACACCAAATAGCCGTTTCGTGGTGACCGGATCTTTCGGGGCATTCGCGCTTTCACGCCCAGTAGATGTGGCCATCCACTCCGGGAATCCTTACCCTCTGGAAAAACGCTCATCTTTCGGTCGCTTGCAGCAGTTTTTGGTCAGCCTCTTGATGCGAGGGCAGCCGCAGTTCTTCACTTCTCTGCGCTCTGGCCTTCCGCAGCAGGAGCCCCACCAAAAGTGCTAGTTGTCACGTAACCACGTTCCCATGTGAGTCCGCGCATACGAATTTTTTAGATTTTTTTGGTACTACAAGGTGAATCCTACTCCTTAACTCACACCACCTAGACGCTTTTGTTCTAGCAATCTCTTACAGGATGCAGTCAGAAGACGTAAAAGAGAAAAATTGTTACCTTCCAATCGAATATAAGCCCTTCACTGACGTAATCTGATATTTCATCGAAGAAAGTCTGTTTAACGAAAGCATTTTGTAGCTTTTCATTAACACTATTGATCAGCAGCTGTTCCAGACCGTTGTTGTTATATCGCTGAATAAAATAAATATAAAACTTAGATAAAGTGATCACTAATGGGAGCGTGAATGGTCCCGCCGTTAGTCGCGCGCGGTCGACGTGCCTAAATGGCGCCGAGCTTTTATGGCAGCCCATCGTCGCGCCCAGCGAGCGACCTTTCGCGCGACATGCGGCGGGACCTTAGTTCCCGAAAAGGTTTGCACTCGAAAAACCTACCTCAACACCGTAATAGTCGACCACAGTAATAACAGCGTTGTGATCTGCACATTTCAGGTGCAAGGAAATTCTGCTGAGAATCCAGTTGAATAACAGCTCGTAGAGTGACATAGCAAGGGCATCACGTGCATCAAGTGCTTGACCCATACTGTACGCCAGTTTGGTTACACCCTCATCCGTTTTCTGAAATCTCTTCACATCTTTATTCTAAAATGTTTCTCGGTGTCAAGGAAATTAAGGAAATAATGGTAACGAATCAGTCAGATCTCTCAGCTCCGATAATCAAACATGAATTGGAGGCCCAGTCCCCCAAACTTCACGTTGATCATGTGGGCGGAGACAAACAACTATTGCACCTCGCTCATCGGTGTATCACGCTTTATGGTGAGGAGTTCGGTTTAAGGATGCCGCGCTCATGAAAAAAATGGTCAACTGTCTACACACAGGATCAACATAGACCACAGGGGGGAGG